TTTCTTTTCTTTTTGTTCAAAGAATTTGAAAGTAAAAAGTGAGGGAAGGTGGAGGGTCTGGTAATCACCAAGGGAAACACCTACAGGCGCCTAGTGGTGCCACACTGGGGACCCCAGTAATATATTTGTGTTTTTAAATCCAGCAGCAGTCAGCTTACTGTCAAGGATCATGAGCCATTGTGTGTGTAATACATATCCTATTTGTAAGCATGAACATATCAGTTTCAATAAAATATCAAGCACCTATTTCAGGTATAAATCATCATAATCCAACCAAATCACCATTACATCAATTTTCACTGCTACACTTTTGCTCACAAGATTTGGGTCACACATACATTCAGTTTTATGCAAGGTGTGTACATGCGAAATCTTGTATAGGGTCAGCCCACCAGCTCCCCCATTCTGCATCTTCCAATATATGCATCCAAAGAGAAGGCAACTGGCCTCTGGCACCCTATCCCTGAGCAAGCCAAGTTGGCCTGTTATTCTGAGAGACCAAGAAAAACAAGGAGCCTCTCCTACGTGCAATGGCACTGAATGTCACAGCAACCACAGGTCTGCCTCTGTTGGTAGCTGGCCTTGCTCGATCAGAGGAGCACACAGATTGGTGGGAGAAGCATGACATGGCTGTGGAGGTACTTTCTACAGTTCACCAAGAGGTGGATGGGCACTCCCCCCCCCCCCAAGAGGCAACCCTGTTGCAGCCCTGGTTGACCTCAGGAATGAGGAAACAGCTCAGGGAACTATAAGCCCTCTCTTCAGGAACTTTTCCCACAGAGTAGTGCCACATCAATTCCCTGGTTTCAAGGCTGCTAATAGTAATAGGAAATGATGGGGGCTGGAGTGACCTGGATAAACAACTTGGAGCAAGTCTAACTAAAGAGCAGCTAGAGCCCATTTGAATGCCAAGGTCACAGCAACCTCATCAGGAAAAACTGTTTTACTGTCACCTTTGCATCTGCACCATATTGCCCCAAAATCTCAAAAGCTAAGAGAATAATATGCGGTCCATCGGCATCTGCAGAAGCTTACTGTTTTTGTCAGAATGATAAAAGCAGTGTCATGGAGCAAGCTCCTGCATGTGACCTCATTGTGACATAATAAAAAGGTATGGCTTGCATCATCACCATCATCAGGCTGCTTTTCTCATTTTGCCCCCCCTCCTCCCACCATGGGTATGGTCTGTTCAATAATTCACTGTGACCAATCAGCACAACCCTGTAGATAACTCTCAGGCAGAATTTCCCCTTCACCAGGACAACCTCTTTGCAACAAGATGCCTTTGCTTCAAAGCGGCAATAGTGATGCATTAGAAAACCTTTGCGTTTAAGAAGTCTCAATGTACCATTCCTTGGAAAGGTGCTTGAGCACTTGGTGTGATTTGAAGGTTAGTTCCTTCTCCTTGTTCTGAGTGAAGAGCAGGTAAGTGGATAAGAATGAGATGGAAAGGGTGGGGGAACAAAAGCACACTTTGGCAAAAGGCCTGGGTAGAACACAAACCAGGAATAAGCCTGGATTCAGACATAAACCAAGACTAAACCAAACCAAACTTTCAAGCTGGGGCTTACTGCAAAGAATAAACCATGCCAAGGGTGAGGTCAGGAATCCAAGCCAATCTGCTTAAACAAATCCTGACTTGAGGTTATTCGCGAACCAAGCCAGGAAGTATTCTGTATTGCCAAAAATACACTTTTAAAGTCTGAAATAAAGCTTACCATAAAACTACTGGTTATTCTACACCAAATAGCACCTTATTTCTCAGGGATAATTGCACACAAGCTCGAATTGCTTTAGCATCACTTTCCATAAGTAGAGTGAAAAACAACAGAGGTATTATGTTAGCCATGTTCTATATTCACCTACAATTTAATGGAAATTGTGATCTAAAATATCGCCAAGTAGAATACATCTAAAACAGGCAAGTTCATATCACTCATACTCATGAAGAAACTACACTGGACTGTTAGGAGTAGTGACATATGATGGATGTCATTACAGGACTTTTGTAAAAGTCCCATCAATGCATCCTATCAGATGCCAATACCTGAATAATGGTTACCTTTGGACCTCAAAACCAGCAGTCCTCCAATTGCCTCACCTGAAACTTTGTCCTCTAGCTTTACATAGGCAATTTTCCCTTTAGAGGTAACGCGGAGGCGTCCAGTCCAATCTGGCTGGTCCAGCTTCCAGTCAGAGGCCCTGCAAGGCAAACACTGGCATATTCACCAGCAAGGAACCCTTTTCCAAAACATCCAATCAGTCTTGCTCTGCCAGATTTCGTTATAATCCTGCCCCATTGATGCAGGGGGCACAGTAACACCCCCCCCCCCCC